AGTATCTTTCGATTAACCCCAAATATAGCTTTTAGAATAGCATACAGATGCCAGGGGAATGAATAGAGCTTTAGGATGCACCTCGGCTATATCTGGGTAGGCACAGAAACAGATTGTTTGTGTCTAGACTTTATCATAGCCAGATTTCTTAATTGCCAATAAAGTTAGAATGAATCCTATATGGTTAGTGTCATGAATACCCTAAAAACACTTTTGGAAGCTGTCAAGATTTAAGGATCATTTCCCTCCTATGGTACAGCTCATGAGCTATTTGCACTCATCTGGATATTGCCTCAATCCTGCTGAGTTCTGAGGTCAGTTTGCCTAAAGATGTACATGAAAATATAGATATAAGCCTTGGTGAGGTCCAAGAGGACCAAATTAAGCCATTGATTAATTTCATTCTGTCCAGTCACTCCTTCACCCTCTGTATCTACTTAAAAAAATAAATGCATTCAGCTTGTCACAAATTTTATTTTATATCCCCACCTAGTACCATTTCACATTCTGCTTAAGTACTTGGTCATCTATTACATGACTCATTAGTTTGAGTTCTCTGTAGAATTAAAGAAAGTTGCAGTAAAAATAATAAATGGAACCTAAGTTTCAACTACATCATCCATGCATGTTTTAAAAGCATCTTTCAAAGTCAATTCAAACTCATATACAATGCCAGGGATTAGCACTCCATCAACCTCTTTGCTAAACTTTTTTGCTTGCCCCATTACATTGAAGTATTGATGAGTAAAATGGCAAATGTTTCTCTTTATTGGGATTCAAATCAAAGTGCGTAAAACTGGATCAGATAAAGACTTCTTCCCAGGAGAAGTACCCAGAGGCTATCATATGAAATTCTATTCAGGGACGCTTCTATTTTTCCTTCAAACAAAATTTGTAGTTACTACTCTAGTCAAGAATTTTAATAAAACGGAGGTTTCCTGCCTCTGTCCCTTAAGGAAAATTTGGTGAAGTTGCTAATTGCAGAATCTTCCAAAGAGATGTGACAAGGTTTCTTGGAGATTTATGTGAATAATTACATTTACAGACTACGTAAATGCTATGAGTACACTACTAGGTCAGAAAAATCTGAGAAATGGTTTTAATAGGAAAAGGAAATGAGACTAAAAGTTATTTATCTTATAAACAAGGCATCACGGGCCATTTTTTTTGGCATATTAGTTTTTTGGAATTGGGCAGACTTGGTATGATTTCCAGTGTTGTTACCTATAAACTATGTGACCCTGGGGAAATTTCTTAACCTATCTGAATCTCTGTTTCCTCATCTGTAAAATGGGAATAATACTATTTACCTTGTGCATTGTTGTGAAGATCAGAGATACTGTGTGCAAAATATCTAGCGCAGTATATGGCACACAGTAGCCATTTAGTCAGTTTTAGCTATGATTATTTTAATAAATTAGAGCTGGGAGGGAGATCATCCTGAGCCCTTCAGTTTCCAATGGAGGAATCCCAGGACCCAGTGTTTAAATGCCCAATGTCACAAAACTAGTCAGTGAAATCATTTCGTCTATTTCAGTCTATTTCATTTTAGAAATGAAACCACAGTCAGGTACAGTGACTTGTATAGGGTCATTCAAGGAAACATGGGCATTACATGGATTGAACAAGAAAGTTCAGGTTCTCTCACATGGTATTCACCATAATTTGCTGTCGTTTCTCAAAAAAAGAAAAAAAAATTCCAATGGCTTCTGACCTTTTACCTTTGGCTGACTGGGTTTTAATCCCATTTGATAATTTACTCCTACTTTAGAACGAATGATCTCAAAAGCAAATTTTATTTCATCCTATTTTTAGAATAGATTCAGAAAGTAAATTAGCTGTCTTACAGATTAACATTTATTTGACATACCTTGCATAATTAAGGACATGTTGGAGAGCCTGCCTGTAATTGCAATATGTTGCTTGTTAAAGTCTTAGAGCAAGCTCTCTTTCCTAACCTAGAAATGGTACTCCCTAGATGTACATTTCCGTTTTCTACTGATCTACAGCTTTTCTTTATTAGCTTCTAGGTAGAAGGAAAAATCAAATCTCTCCTTAAAGAAATCTATTAAATTTTTGCTGTCTTATAAGGGTGAAAGGAGGAGCTGATGTGCATGGTAGTTGTAAAGCAAAAAACAAACAAATTGGTCTTTCTTGAGAGACAAAGAATCTGTAGTAGAACCTCAAAGATAAAATTAGCAATTAGCAATACTCTCCTCTCGATTTGCACACTGTGCTTTAATAGCTTCTTGCATGATTTTTCCTTTTACAGAAGTCTATGAAATTGCCCTGCAGCATTCCATATAATGAGAATCTCACTTCTGATTCACTGACAAGGGTGAGTACCGACTATATTTAGCATGGAGACAGGTGCCATAGCTAGGCACCTAAGTGATCTGACCAGCATTTTCAAAGCAACTGATGTCTGGACATAGGTTTTGTCATCTGAGTGATTATAAAGATCACTAACAGGGTCTTCAAACATTGCTAGTATGGTTGAAGGAGAGATGGTGAATACCTAGTATGAACCACACATCCCGCTCCTTTACGCATTCTAGGTCACTCACTGGGATCAAAGCAGATGTTGACAATACCAACTTCAGGAAAAGCTATGTGAAAGCTCTCCTGGATGGATTAGACGTTCTGCCCAGGCTAGATGTTCTTAGGGCCCCTAATTGCTCCGGGAGGAATAAAGTGTGCCAGATTATAGGAAAGGCTACTCCTGGACAGAATGATGAGTAAAATCAAGTCAAAGGAAAATGTACTAGTAGCTATGACAAGAAGAAAAACTTTGTTTAATATTAGCTTTAATAGATAAATAAATTTTAGCATGCTCATTACTGATGCTTCAAGAGTTCATGTAAATTTTGTTTATTAGGACTCTATTATTGCTGTCTTCCAAGCAAAAACAAACAAACAAACAAACAAAAAGAAAAAAAACACACAAAACTGCAGTGAACCAATGCTTTATTTGGAAAAGCCAGGATATTCCTTCTTTATGTGGCAGGTTGAATGTGGTAGGTGAGGTGCCACGTGGTTTTCAAACTAGCAGCAACTCAGGAGGATGCCAATTTCAGGCACAATACAAGCTTAATTCCTCTTTATTGCTTATGCAGAAATCCTTATAATACCCAGAAGAGTTCTAAGCCTGTGTAAAAGGTGGGACCCAGCCTGATGTATTTTCTTGAAACATGAGCTGATTATATGTTGCACCTGAGTTATTCATTCACTCATTAAATATTTTGTGTGGACCTACTATGTATAAGAAATGAGAGCTGGAGCAGAGAAAAAAAGAAACACTTTATCATAATACTTGGGGGAAAATGTCACCCTCTTTAAACACTATTGAAATTCCTTTTAGGAATTCTTGGCAGAGATAAGAATTAATTGATCAATTACACAATAAGCATGTGTGGTGGATCCCACATTGTGCTAGAAATTGGTGGGGAGGTGGAGAAGATTCCAAAATATTAGATGTGGTTTCTTATCTCAAGTAATTTACTTCAGTAGAAAAAAATCTCCCACTCATGAAAGCACTGGAAAGCAAAAGGAGGCAAAATACAATCAAGTGATAATTGGGTAGTGTAGATCCTGTTAAATAAATTCAGATTTAATGGGCTGGGGTTAGCCAGAGGGGCTTTTTGAAAGACAAAAGGCCTTGAAGAAAGTGAAGGCTTTAAACTCTGATAGTAGTTGGAATTTAATCCCAATATGGCAAATGTCAAATGGCTAAAGAGTATCCTCTTAAAATCTGAAATAAGTGACCATCTAACAAATTAAACACATTGACCTCACTATATTTATTGGCATGGAAAGATGTTCATAATACATTAAGTGTGAAAAGCAGGTTATAGAAAAGCATTGTATGATACGATTTCACTCTTAAAGAACTAAAATATATGCTATGCACAGAAAAAAGTCTAGAAGGATAAATACTGAAATGTTAACAGAGGTTTCCTGTATGTGGTAGGCTTATGGGTGATTTTAATTAAATTTTTTGTTCTCTCTTTTCTAATTTTTCTGCAATAAATGTGTGCTATTTGTGTAAAAATTTTAAAAAGCACATTGGCTTCATGAAACTCAGTAAAATGAATACTTTGTAAAACCCACTAACATAAATGTATGCACACACAAACACACGCACACACAGACATCCTGGAGCAGAAACAGAAGAGTGACTAAATAATTAAGGAAATAGGGTAGGTGATATATGGTGACAGACTTAAAAGTTGACTATCCTTCAGCTAAGTGGTCTAAGATGGACATATGATCCCAGTCTATAAAATCATGAAATTAATTGGGAGACAAAGATTTGTTCACTAAATCCTGGGCAATCAAATAGAGGATTGGTCCTTGAAGACTGAGAAGTAAATTTAGGACAAATAAAAGTAAGATCAAGCTCTCACACAAAGCAACAGAAAAAAAATTGGAATGTGTTTTCCTAGAGGTACTATAAATTGAAAATATAAGTAGTTTCAAGGATAATTTTGATAAATTTATGGAAGAAAGCTTCATTAAAGGTTGTTAAGCAAAAGCCAGGAATGTTTAGGGTCTGTGAGATATTCGACATATTTGACAGTGGTAGAAGGGGAGTGCAGACTGGATCCCAACCAGGCAGGCCAGAGCTAAAGCAAGGGGCTGGAAGCCTTGCCCTGGGCCAGGTTAACCCTTCAGTTGCTGGGCTGTATGGGGTTTCCAGAAGGTAGTCCCTGGAGACAGGTTGAGGTACCAGGGAGGCCCTCAGAGGGCTCTGGCCAATAGTTATTTGTGTACCAGAAACAAAGCATTTGAATCTTTAAATAACATTATGACCATACTAATGCATATTGGCTAAAAATTCATCTTGGATATGCCTATCTTCCAGGATAGACTTCAGAGAAGATGTATGTTGAGGCAAAATACAGAAATGGATGGTTAGACTACAGTGTGACAACAGTCTTAGGATTTTGTGAAGTCAAATGAAATCTTCAGATGACCAAAGAATGATTTTTTTTTTTTACCTCGGGGGCTGTTCAGTGAAGCTTCCGATGCTCTCCCACCATCTCCACAGTGACTCTGGTCAAAGGGAAGGCACTGGTCACCAGTTCCAGCCACCACTTCAAAATTCTTGGACAGATCTTTTGTTTCCACAAGAGATTTCAACTTGTAGACTTTTCGAGTATTGGTGTCTGATAAATAGAGTGATTCAGACATGGGGTCCATAGCCAGATAGTATTTGTGAGCAGGACTTGTGCTAAGGAAGAGAAAAGGAAAGTTACTAAAAGCAGTTTTTTTCAACATGCATCCCCTGGGGGCTGCCTTTTGTCACAAATAGAAAAATTTCTTAACAGATGAACGGATTCATTTATCTTCCTTCTAATGTACCAAGGGGATGAATACTTCTTTGTTTTTCTAGTAATGGGTTTAGGTATGAAAAAAATCCAGTGTGTACTGCTAACCCATAATGATGCTGACATTTCAATACCATCCATTTGGGGGTAGAAAGAAACAGAAGATAGAAAATCCCACGAGATCACTTTTCTCAAACTTTTCATATCCACTTATCCAATTACCTACTAGATGACTGCCTGGGTGTCTCACTGCCACCTCAAACACAACAAATCCAAAACAGAAGTTATTTTCTTTTCCTGCCTTCTCCATCGTTCATAAATCTACTCATTTTCTCCTGGGCTTCCTATTTCACTTGGGGACACTACTATCCTCCTGGGCTTTGTTGTCAACTGAAAGGCATGTCCAGAGCTCAAGCAGCGTCACTGAGGGAGAGCTGTGCTGGAGATACACTGCCACAATTCTCTCCAAGCTTCCTTTTTTCAGCTGACCACCACACTTCTCTAATTTATTTTTTCTTCCTTCAGGACATAATAGAACTGATTATATTTAACCTTTTTTTTTAAAGTTATAACCACAATCACATGATTGTGTGATCACATAACCATACCTTCTAAAGGTAACGCTAAAGTTAACTTGATTAGATTTTGGTCTTCCTGGAACTTCAATTACATATTCACATGGGATCTTGTGTTATTTTTATCTGCATAGATGACTGAGCTTGTTCATTAATTTTGATTCTTCCTCATTTCATGTTTTCTTCAATGGCTACAGGAACTTTGGTTCGGGGGATATTTTCCTTGAACCTAAGGTCCACGTAATACTGACATCTTCCAAGCCCCAAATCTGGGAGTTGTCTCTGATCCCTCTTTTTCTCTCCAAATGCAGTTGTAAACTAGCTTTCAGCACCATTCTCTTCTTACATCCCTCTGCTATTACATTAATTCTAACTTTCATCATTTCTGGTCTAGGATACTTTCTATCTTCTGGCACATAGGAGGTGTTTTTGAAATCTTAAATCCATTTCTCCCCACACTGCCTCGGGGTTATTCTGATCATTTAACTCCCATCTTTACAAACCTTCTACTGTGCCTCAGTGTGGTACACAAGCCTTTCTTCACTTAATTCCACCTTTCGAGGCTTTACTCAGGCATTGTCTCCTGAAGGAAGCCTTCCCTAAATCTAGAGTCTGGGTTATTTGCATTATGCTTACCTCTCTTCTGGGAATTACATATTCTATTAAATTATTTATGTGTTTGTATCCCCCCCCCCAATAAACCATGAAAGCTCGGAGGAGTGCAACTGCATTTTGTGTATCTCTAATGTGCTCAATGCCCATACCTCTGCCTAGCACCCAGTTGTCAAAGCCAGAAACCAGAAGCCATTCTTTTCTACCTCCTTCTTTCCACCATTCCTCACATCCAGTGAAACATTATGTTTTTATGATTCTACTTCCTAAATTCTTCTCCAGTCTTCCCACTTCTCTTCATCTCTGTTGTCATGAGTCTAAGGCACTATCGTCTCTCATCTAAACTCCTTCCTTGGTACCATTTCTGTATTATGCATTTGTTTATTAATTCATTATAAAGCACTTACTTAGTGCTTACAATGTGTCCAAGAACTATACTATGGTCTGGAGACCTACTGCATCTTGTGTGCAAGATACAGCCCCTTTCTCTATGAAACTCACAGTCTAGTGGGAGAGAGATAATTAGACAGGGTATGATTGCCATAAGTCCAAGTGTTATGACAAGAGGAGTAAAGAGGGAGAGAAATAAATAGAGAGGAGAACTTGTGACTTAGCAGCACCTATTGCATTGTATTAGCAGTATTGTTGAAAATTATTAACTGAAGTCCATACTTTATTCAGACTTCCTTAGTTTTACCTAATGTCCTTTTTCTGTTCCAGGATCCCATCCAGGATACCACATTATATTTAGTCGTCATTGTCTTCTTAGGCTCTTCTGGGCTGTGACAGTTTCTCAGACTTTTCTTGTTTTTGATGACCTTAACAGTTTTGAGGAGTAGTGGTCAGGTGTTTTGTAGGATATCCTTGATGGGAATGTGTCTGATTTTTTTCTCATAGTTAGACAAGCTTTATGGGATTTTGGAAGGAAGACCACAGAAGTAAAGTGGCATTCTGATCAAATCATATCAAGGGTACATACTATCAACATGACATATCATTGATGGGGTTGACCTCAATCACCTGGCTTAAGTAGCATTTGTTAGGTTTCTTCATTGTAAAGTTACTCATTCTCCCCTACTGTCCACATTTTACTTGTTGGAAAGAAGTAACTGTGTGCAGCCAACACTTAAGGAGTAAGGAGTTATGCTCCACCTCCTTGAGGCTGAAGTAGCTACATAAATTATTTGGAATTCTTATGAATAGAAGCTTTATCTATATTTATTTATGAATTCAACCATTTATTTATATCAGTATGGACTCATAGATATTTCTCTTATACCTTGCATTAAAACCAATGTAACTTTATTTTGTTGCTCAAATTGTTCTAGCATTAGCATTAGGAACTCTTTCTGTTGGCTTATGTGCCCCTTTTCCATGCCCCCATCAAGGTGGGTTTCTTTTTAGCCCTTCTTTTTTTCTGGCATTACAAGATGCTCCAGTCTCATCTTGTGTACTGTCTGCCCCAATCCTAGAATCAGCTATGTCTCCAAGGACCTCTGGTTCCTTTTACTGGAGACTGGTATTAGAAACCAAGATATGGGTCTGCGTGTGAGCATTATTTATTTATTTATTTATTTATTTATTTATTTATTTATTTAATCTCTCTCTCTCTCTCTCCAACTACACTGTAAGCTCTCTGTAGGCAGGAACCATATTCATATTCATCTGTCTACTCTCAGTGCCAACAGAGTGCCTAACAGAGTTGATGTTCAAATAAGTGCTGAACTGAACTGAATTGCAGGGCATGAAACTACGACACAAGAGTTCAGGCCTTGGGACTTAGCCAAACAAAATGGAAACGAGAGGATCATCAGAACAATTAAATACCTTTAAAGATTGGGCATGCTATTAATTTTATTTGTCATTGTATTTGCCCTCTAGGCATATTTATGTATGTTAATAGTAAGTCTGGCAAATACTAATTTAAGAATCAGTTTATAACTGTAATTGGAATAAAAACAGGTCCAATTGGAATACTTGACTTTTTTCTACTTACCTGCATCAAGTAAGAGAATCCAGTAGATTCCAGGGACACCTTCAACCCTGGAATCACCATGACAGCTACTGTAAATAAACTGTAAAGGGCCCCAACAGACTCCAGATTTGATTTGGAAGTCATATCAGACAAGGCATCTCTGTAGCAAAGACTGCTTCAATAGGTGGTTTGAGTAAAAGTTTAAAAATATTTACTTGAATTTTTGTCCTCGCAATAAATTTCTTCAGTGCACTTATATCTATCTTTCTAGAATATAGAAAGGGTCACATCCCTTCCCTGAAACAACCTTCAATACTTTGGTAGCCAGTTTGTGAAGTTTCAGTTGAGCCAGATTAATCATGCTTTGTTTAGGAAGAGTCCATAGGCTATTTTTCCAAGAGAAATGTTATTCGCACAAAAGTACTTTGGAATGCATTACATTCATTCATTATTGAATAACCCCAATGTGCCTGTGAGGGAAGTTAGAATTAGCATTCTCCTCAAATCTAGCTGGGGAAACCCAGACACATAGGGAGCTTGCCTAGGGTCACTAACAGGTTTGGGCCTGGACTGAGATCAGATTAGATCGTATGTGACTGTGTATGAAAAATGCCAGCAGAATACTCTTGTCCTGAAGGAGGCAAAACAAGTCAGTGTTCCTACCTTCTTCCAACTGAGTAACATATCCTATTTTGTTCAGCTAGGCTGTTCTCAAATGTTTTGTACTGGCCTTTAGAAGATGGAATAGCCCAACATACCAAATTCAAATCTGATTAATGTTATTTTCTTGACAGCCAGCAGTCAGGAAGGTCCCTTATATCAATATGTAATTTGCCATTTCATGCTACTTCCCAAGTGCACTTCAGCTCTTTTGAGACTGATTTCTTTCTACTTTCTGAAAACATGCTATACTTGAGAAAGGAAAACCACTGGACTACATTTCAATTTGTTTTAATCCCTTGTGTCTAAATGCAAGCTGCAATTTGAGATATGTGAAGATTTCTTTTATAACTTGGGTGTTGGACTTACTGTCACCTTCTGGTTAGTTTTACATTCAAGCAATGCCCTTCGACTTAACAAAGATCACTTCATTCATGCTAGTTAAAATCACATGGATTGTTAAATGGGCAATTAATGCTTATAATTAATACTGTGCAACACTTTACCAATAAGCAATTTGACAACCAACTTAATTTGCTTAAGGAATCAGTTATGCCAAGGTAGCAAGGCTGATCTTCTGCACTGGCATTTAGGAAGTGGCATCTCCCAAACGAAATCCAAATTAAAAACCCCACTAGTGCCATTTCGATGACAATTGGCATTCGGGAGTGAACACAATCAATTTTCTCCTTCGCAATTTCAGGTAATTTAGAATAGTTTTGACAAGTGTAATGCATAAACAAATTGAATAGAAATACTCATTATGATTAATTTCAGAGCTATGTGCTATTGTCTGTAAACGGTCAGTTTAGAGTTTTCCTATTACTTCTTTTTGGTGGAAAGAAATAGAAACCATGAGGTCACATAAAAGAAAAAAATCTTATTAAAGAAGGTCATCATGGTCACTGTCTCTTAGTAGTCTTGTCAGCTATATTTCTGGATCTAGGAATATTCCCATGTTACCTCTCTTTTTACCTGCAATTTGGAAACATCAAATCTATTTGAACTTACAGACTCATTTGTGATATCACCTTAGGGAAACGTAATGAGATTTAAGGCCTTGCTTTCCCATTATGTACTGAACTTCCAGCTTTCATTCATCTTGTTTTCTTTTCAGTATGTTCTGATCCTCAAACACATTCTTACTTAGTGTACCCCTCTTCTTTTGGAAGACACTTACCTGAGTCATAATTTCCAAATTCACATTCACACTATTCCTTTAACCTTATTTAAGAAGCAAAATTTCCCTGTTAGCACATTATTAGGAGGTGGTCTTTTAGGCAAAAGAGGGCATTAGGCAGCTGCCCATGTGATTTGCTTACCTATGTCTGGTATCTCTGTTTCTAGGGTGCACAAGGTATCCACGAATAGCAAGTAAAAGCAAATAGAGAATCATCAGTATCATTCAACAAGCCAAATCTAACCAGACACACTGATTCCTAACTCAGATTGCAGCTATTAGAGAGACTCCACAGGGATCACTTAGTCAGACGTGCAAGCCAAAGTTGACCCAATCCCTCCAGGCTTCTTCTCCTAAGATGGTGTCAAGGTGATTGTATATTTTGCTCTGTGGATGGGCAAAGTTCTAAGGCAGATTTTCAAAAGGTTCTCTCTGGGCCACCTGTATCAGAATCACTTGGATTCTTGCACATGTACAGTTTCCTGGGGCTCTCCTCAGTCCTACTGAACCAAAATCTCAAGGTGGGGATGGGTACTGGGGACTTTATTTTTAACAAATTCAGCTGGCAATTCTGATGCAAAGTAAGGCATAAGAACCAGTGAGCTAGGGGTTGAAGAAGCAGTCCCTGCAGAGGGGCTGACCATTCTAGGCTTTGTTTTGATAGCCACGACACCCTATCATAATGTAAAATCACCGTGTGTTATTATCAAGTCATGTGTAGAACAGACATTCCAACCCTAACCCTACACCACTTATCTGATCTCAGAGATAAGATAGGGACATCTGTTGTGTACATTCCTTTGCAATATTAAAAAGCTTCTTAACAAGTTGAAAGTATGAGGGTTTTCTCATGACAGAATGTCTCTGACATCAAAACTGCTGCATCAAAACAGTTTCAACAAAACATCGTGTACATCAACTATTAGGGCTTGTGTCTTCTAGTCATCCATGTTCTAAGGGGGCAACTGGAGTGGGGAAAACAGAACTGTCAGGCCAGAAGAAGCAGAGCACTTTGGCAGCTCCTGATCTATAAGCCTCTTGGCCCAGGGTATTGCCTAGGGCATTTCTCTCTCGGACCCAGAATGAGGCTTCTCATATAGGGGAGGCAGTCTGTGTACAGGCCTGATTTTGGGTCAAGTCTGCCTGGGATTAAAAGGCTATAATCATCTTTGAAGTACAGTCATTTTAATTTTAAAATCCTTTTAAATCTGGCCCTTATGTCATTTTGAAAACATGAAGATAACAAACCTTTTTTATCTAAACTAGAAAATGTTCTTATTCTTTGGAACGTCAGGGAAGAAGAAAAGACACAGAATTATTTCACCTGAAGCTATCTGCTACATCAAATTCAACTCTTTTTAAAAAGAACCTTTCTAGGACTTTACTAGTTGGGCCACACGTCAAGGTCCACTGAGTTTTTTGTTTCCTTGGCCCCTCTCAAAAGGGTAGGTATCTTGTGTATTGAAACAAAGGTCAGCTGGTAAGGATGGGGAGCTCTGATTAGAAACCTAGCTTTGGGCATTTGCACCTCTTTCAATTTCTTTGTTTCTAGATACTCGCCTATTTTTGTGGCCTCTAAATTATAGGGTGAGTGTGCTTGAGGCTGGCTTTAATCACTGTAACATAATTGATCTTCCTGAAGGAAGTTTAGTTGTGAAAGTACTAGAAGGACCTCATTAAAATACGGTTTCATCTACAACAGATTCTCATGGTATAGAGCCATTTGTGTGGCTACGAAAGGTTTTGAAATTCTTGGGTGATGGCAAGGAGAGGGAAGGCGGATGGTTTGACTTTTTTGCAGCTGCTTCTGATTCTGCTAATAATGTCACTGTGAATTTGGAAAGATGTCCCATATTATGCAGAGCAGCTTCTCTCATTAACATCTCAGAGGGAGGAAGTGAAAATGACGGAATTTATTTCTAGTGTGTGACCTTGTTCTGTCTCAGAATTACTTTTAGTTAAGGATTTAGGACTGAGCCACCACCAAAGTCGGTCTGCTATTTAGCTGGCAAGTGACTACATGCTGAGTTGCCAGTGTGTGAGCTCTTCACAAGGGCCTGGGCCCATCCGTGGGCTCTGCCACCTGGCAATGGACCGAATTGAAGCTTTCCATGACTTAGGAGGAGAAAGGAATGGGATTTCAAGTCTTTTTAGAGCAAGAAATGCTACCAATGATAGGGTCTTTAAGTTGCTCTTTGATTTTCTCTACAGCCAGATGATGAAAAGGGCCATTTACTCTTCTTTTTTAATTTAAAAGAAAATTATTGAGATATGATTTATATACCATAAAATTCACCCTTCTAAAACGTACAATTCAGCAGTTTCCAGTATATTCAGAGAGTTGTGCAACCATTACCATCTTCCAATTCCAGAACATTTTCATCATCCCATGAAAAAACTTGGTACCTATTAGCAGTCACTTTCCATTCTCCCCTCCCTCCCTCAGCCCCAGGCAACCTTAATCTGCTTTCTGTTTCTATGGATCTGCCTCTTCTAGACATTTCATATAAATGGAATTGACCATTCAATATTGGTCCTTTTGTGTCTGGCTTCTTTCACTTAACATAATGTCACATCTATTCTTTTTATATTTTTGTGAGGTGAGATATAGAAAAGAGGGGATATGTGAACTTTGCAGTGTTGTCTAGTGACCCAGTGTCATGGCAGTTTGGCCTGCTCTGTGGTGGCTGCAGCCCTTTACTTGTTCTTCATGCTGTTCTGAGCTTCTTTCCTTATTCTTGACCGGAAACATTTGATGCTGAAGAATGGACTTCCTTTTCTGTTCATCTCTCCATTGCCTTCTTCCTTTGAATGTCCAGTGCCCACTCCTGTCTGCCACTAACTTCTTAGAGCTGTTAACTCTAGCGGTAGCAACCCTTATCCAAGACTACCTTTTCCCACACTCTTGGTTCTATCCCTTACCCTTATCCCAACTTACCTGTCTTGTGTTTTAGGGCCCTGTGTTCAGCTAGCAGTCCCTTTGAGAGGCAAGCTGATAAATGAATCCATGTTGAGGGACTCATGGATGCTTTTAGCTTGATGGATCATTTTAAAAGAGGTTCTAGTGTTGAAGACTCTTACAGAAGGAATGTCTTAACTCAAAGGAACACATTTCTTAGACTGGAAATTTTGGGCACTGTGGAAGGCCAGCGAAGATGTTTTTAAAAGAAGTACAGAGAGCCTTTGAGGTATGTCTAGCTAGCAACTCACATATATCTTATCTCATCTCTCATATCTTTGAGTGCCACTGCTAATACATGAGATCAAAGTGGGGAGGTAGCCATCTCTTTCATCTACATGTAGTGTTTTTAGTATTTGTAGCTTCAGTGTTGCTAACAAGGGAATGGTTTCATGACCATTTCTCAGCTATTAGCAGAGCTCTCAAAGCCCAGGTTCCATTTATTCCGTCAGGAAAGGGCTTTATAAATTCTACTGCCTCTCAGCATGCTAACTTCCCCTAAATGGGTGCTATTCCAGTTCTACTCCATTCCTAGTCAACAATAGGAGTCAAGTCCAGAGAACATTGTGAGAACTATTAAGTAGTCCTGGAAAGGAAACAGTAAAATCTCGAGAGAAATTTTCATGTCACATTGACATTCGTCAAGTCCAAATTACTCAAGGTACCAAGAAGCATTTACCAGGCTCTTATTTTCTTCTCTCTTTCGTTTTTAAGGGAAGGACAAAATAAATATCTGGAGAATAACATAATCCTGAACAATAGCAGCATGAGGTTTTTTATAAAGAATAAATCACTTCCAGTCATGCTTAATGGGTTTTCTAATAGAATTGTGAAATTAGAAGATGAGAGAGGAGCAAGGGGATATTACAAATTTAAATTCTTGCAAAGCACTTGATATGGTGTCTCCTGTTTTTACTTATATAATTATCCCTGATAGTTTTATAAAACCAAAAAGTGGCCCTGAGGCCATAATAATAAAAAAAGAAACAGAATCATAATTAATGAGAAATAGTTGAAGGACTTGGGGATGTTTAGACTGAGGAAAAGAAAGCTCAGAAACCTCTAATAGTTGTCTTCATAATTGTGAAAGTTCGTCAGGTAAAAGAGGGAAGTGACTTCTGTGCCATTTCAAATGCTAACATTTGTCACTACTGAGTGGATGTTTGATGAAAGCAGATTTTGGTTGAATATAAAAAAGAGTTTTTTAGCAGAGTAGTCCAAAGATGCAATGGGCTGTCTCGAGAGGTATTTACGTTTCTCATTATTGAAAGGGGTCAAACAAAACAGAGATGATAAATTACCAGGTATGTACTGGGCATAATGTTGGATCTGATACTCTCATGGATCTTACTAATGCTAAGCTTAAAAATCTGTGATGTTACTTTTGTGCTGCAGAAATGTGTGTGTATGCATATGTACACACACACACACACACACACACATATACACGAAGTTTTAACATAGGACATTTAACATAAATCTCTAGTGAAACCAAGACCTAAAAACTATCTTACATGGAAATGACTCTATCTTTGAAAAGTCCTCAGAGAATATATTTTTGAAGCTCCCTTAGGTTTAATTGAATGATCTTATAAGCTTCCCTTCTTTATTATCTTACTTCAGTCTGCCACTGTAAGGAAGCACTAAGATGTGTATATGCAGATGAAATCTGCGGGAAACAGGCAAGTGAGTACTACAGACTTAAATAACAATAAATAATATTGTTTATCTTGGCATATTTCTAATGATAATGATATCATTATCATTAGAAAGGACTTTTCCTTTCCCTCCCTGTTCAGCCATTGGGGTACCAGCTAGAGGAATTAAGTGATTGGCAACCAGTGAAAAGAAAGTTATTTTTGAGGTCAGATGGAAGAAGCTCAATTGGGGGAAGTTTGGATCAGTAGGGCTGAGGTAGGAAATATCTACAGCCTTCCAATCTTCAAAATGTCAAGGGTCACCTTGTTCAGTGTGGCTTAGTATGGAACCAAAGGATGGAAGAGAAGGAAATCTAGAAGAGCATCCATTAGGGGCAAACTATATGTCCTCCCAAAATATCATCAAATTTTGGGCTGAGTGATACATATCTGTGGCTCTCAGAACAAGTTAAATTGTATAAGACATGTAAGAGGATGTTTGAGTATAAACTTGAAGTCAATTTTCACAGATAGAGAAGTAGAGAACACAATAGTTAAGTTACACAATAAATAACCTGACAGAGGGTCAAGATCTACAAGGCTCTCTATAATAACCTGTTGACAGTATTGCTTCTCATTCACAATTTAAAATGGAACCAATAACATAATGACTATATTAGTCTGTGTTTCCAAGGAAACAGATGATTCAACCAAGTAAAATGACTAATTTGCACAGGGTGGGGAACAATTAAATTAAATGATCTTAACAAAAAAAAGCTGGTACAAAATGAAGTTTTTATCTAAATACAGTAAGTAGAATTCAATGAACATTATGGTTCTTAAGATAGCATCGCCTTATGAAATCATATTATTTCTCCCCAGGCAGTTTAAATCTGGAAAAGTTATAAAGCAAACATGTAAATCCACCAGTTATATGCACAATGTACAATGAACAGTATACATATAGGCTACTGATCAGGAAACATGCCTTTTTAAAAAAGTGAATCTGATAAGAGCTATATTATTTTCTGAGCAAACATGACAGCTAATGGGTGTTGACATAAACTGGTTTGATGGTTTTGACTCTAGTCCAACAGTTAGGGAGTTACCTGTCAATTAGATCAAAATGATCATGTACATTCAATCAGCGTAATTCTCTGATGGCCAATCATGGGAATGTTGGAATGGAGAAGGAAGAATTGCCTTTTCTCCTTGAACCTAATGCAGGGGATCTTTACCTTGAGTCTATGAAAGGGCTTCATCTATAGGGACAGGTTGCTGATGGGAGCAGGGGGGTCAAGGGAAGGAAAAAAATGTGACTCCTTAAATCACACATGCAATTTTGTGTGTTTTTTCTAAGGAGAGGGCCCATAGCTTACAGTAGATTCTCAAAGGAATCTGAGACTAAACAAACAAACAAAAATTTAAGAAGAACTACTCTAAAGGATCTGAGCTCAGAAAAGCCAGCTAGGGAGATTCATACTAGGTGAGAGAGCCTAGGTGTGCGAGCTCATAGTGTGTACGTACCTATGTGCCTGAAGAGCTGTGACAGTGAGAGAAAACTGTCTGAGAGCAAGAATGAATAGAGGCATTGGACAATACTTCAAACTGTCAGAAAATAATTTTTCTTTATACTGAGAAAATCACTTTGCAATTAGGGTCCAAGTTATTCTGTTTTATACTTCAAACGGCTTTGTGTTGAAGGTCATAAGGTACTTTGGACTAAAATGCAAATTTGTAAACTGTTAAGGATCCTTGACCAAAAGAGAATCTCATCAAAGAATGACAATTGTTCCTTCTTCAATAAATTTGCATTTAAATTACAGAGGAAAGAACAAAACTTAGCTGGAGATTTATTATATTAATATTGTTTTATTTTGTTTTTAGATAATTGTACTGTTTTTCCTTTGAGGAGTTAGCCATATCGGGGCTGGGTATATAGGCTTTATAGGGTTAACTATAGTTATAGCTATAGGATCATCAAGACAAAGTCTCCGTCTACCTGACAGCCAATATGCATGACTGGAAACATTCAGATGTTGAATGAATTGTTCAGTGCTCCCATCCATGTTTGGCATCATGTACATAGAGCATCCCTAGGGTTTTGAAAACAATGTAGCATGTTGTATAAATCATTTCCAAATCCAGGCATACACCCATCTTGGCATGCCTATTGACTTTTCAGTAAGTAGGCAACCAAAGAGATATACTGCTGGAAATGACAAGTCCCTGTGAGGTGTGACATCCTGAGGTACATAAACACTTGATTAGGATAGGGTGCCATGAATTAGTACCTTTCCAGACTCTCTAGATGTGCTTTGTCTTTATAAAGTCTTAACTTTACAGTCTATTTTTTTTATTAGCCAAGGGATTTAACAGCTTTCTTCCCTATGACAGCCTTTGCAATTATAATTAAGAAATGTATTAAAACTGGATTGAATTAATGTGAAAAATGGATGGGGGCTTGGGACTAAAAGATTTCCCCAGCTAGGTGTGAAGGAATAACTCAGTCTGAGAAAAGGGAGGTAGATTTCAAAGCAAGCATGAGAATCTGAAAAATTTCGAGGAATGCTCTTATCTATTCAAATTTCCATGTTTGTGTGAAGGTAAGGTGTTAAAGTGACCCAAGACTTCTCATGTGTTTTAACTGGTATTGATAGTGCTATATACACCTATCCGCTATTTTTGGTCACTATTTTTCAGGTCATTGAGGAGATATCTGAAGCAAAAATTGTTTTATGGAGTAGTTCATAGAATGGTATCAAAATCTTCAGAAACAGAGAGAGACTTTTAGCTTGAAGTTCTAGAGGCATTTGTCAGGGATAAAGCTACCATAACCAATTAGAAAGAAGGGTCTCCTCTGGTAACAACTTACCCAGGGGAGAGGAAACAGGATTGTTTATCCCTAATGGGATAGGAGTGGATGCTTCTCTTTTCTAGGATCCCAGAGGATTTTTATTTGTGTCTTATAGTCTCAGAAAGGGAAGAAATAAGCAGATTAAACCGTGGTCAATTTAGTTGTAATCTTTGTGTAACTTCAGGATGTGAAATACCAAAAACTATGAATTCCCTACCAAAAGTGTCAAAATATTTTGTACTATCAAGAAAATTCTTAGAACAGAGTGAGAAAATCTAAAGATAAATGCTTTAATCATCATGGAGTAGAGCTTTTAAGGGTAAAGAACTAGTTCTTCCTTCCTTATCATGTTATGTAAACATGGACTTCCATTTTCTTCTTTATGAGATGAGCACTTCAAAAGACTGGACCTGGAGATTTTAGAAAGTTTACTCTTTTGGATCTGGTAATACCTCTCTCCCTGCTAGAATGCAATAGATATTTTTGACGAGTCTTTGTAGCGGCCAGCAGTGGATGAGTGACTTACCTGAGCACTTGGAATTATGGAGATCCATGTCAGTGACAGCAATGTACACAGGGAAGGACACCCATAGATACAGGGATGTCAACACTTCCTGGCTCTTCAAAGCAGTGTTCAAAGTTTCCTTTAAATAGGAGGAGTGGGCATGCTGACCTTTGCCCCTACCCCTGAATCTTAATTCAATGCTACCACAGGGACAGCTGCATTTTCTGCTCCTTCTGGCAATGCCTTGTCTCTTCATATTATCTTATTCTAGCTTTTTTCTTTATCCACTAAGCAAACATAGAGATTAGAGGAGACTTACCTTAATTCCAAAATACTAACGGAGTTTCCCGAGGGAAATATTCGCCTTACAAAATTGAAGTCGCCAACATACACACTGCCATCAGGGCCAGAAGCTAAGGCGACAGGAGCAAATAGTTTGTTGTTGTGGGCTGGGCCATTGCAGTTGGTGCAGGCTACACTCCTTTGGTGCCCATTACCCATTATGGTTGATATGACTGGGGGCTGCTGGGAAATGAACATATTTTCTCCATTCCCTTTATGTATGATTCCTAGATCCAAGGAAAACAAAAGGAGAGAAAATAAAACAAGCAATTACCACATAACCTCAGCAGCATTTTAATTTCTCTTTCATTGTTCAAAGCAGGAAGGAGCTTTGGCCTGGCATAAGAGAACCTGAGAGTGAGACACTCCACCCTTGATTTTGTTTAACTGCATAATCACAACAAATAGTAGCGTAACACACTTTGCCTCAGTTTGTCTATCTGTGAAGTGGGGTAATACAACCAGTCCCTTTAACACTGATTCTGAATGCCTCAATAAAGCATTTGATGGCTAATTTTAATGATCTGTTCATGCTGGGCTCTGTGAATCATCTGTGGCTAATTTTTCTTCTCTTGCTAGCTCTCTTCTGATGCCTAGCACACACCTATCTGACTTCAAATTACTCTCACTATGAAACCGGTTCCTGAAAAGAGAATATCAGTCAATTTTAATATTAACCTTAGCTAAACACAATCAGGGAGGTAATCTACTTCTGTGAAAAGGAAAGAAATCCTACTGCTAGAATGCACTTCAAAGATGTATGAAAGGGACTTGAATTTTCCACTCTTTTGGACCATATCACACTATCATCAGTGCAGGAAATAGAGATACTGACTTACGAAAATGCTTTGCAATCATTCTGTTTGGGCAATCACATCCACACCCACAGCTTCAACTTTCATCTCTGTGTGCTGAAACTTTCTCCTGTCCGAGTTCTCACCTGACATGCAATTTCCAACTTGACCTCTTTTCTTGGATGCCTCACAGGTACTTCAGCCTCAAAACATTTTAAAACCGAACTCATTATATTTCAACACACCCCTCCAACACCAAACCCTGCTCTTCCTCCTGTGTTCCCTACTCATCTCATGAGTAGTATCGCCATGTGTGCAGTTACTGAAATTGGAAACCTGGGCATCACCATGGCTCTTATTTTTCCCTCATCTTCTAAATCTAATTAATTACTAACTCCCATTGAGTCTATCTCTTAAAATGTGTTGCAACCAGTTTCTCTTTCCTTGTTCCTAGTTTAGCCCAGTTTTTCTTAACTTTTTGGTCTCCTGATCTTCATGCTTACCTATCTCCAAATTTTCATTAACACTCCTGTGGCTTAAAATCTGTCAATAGCTTCATAGCCTGTATAGGATATGGGGTGCATTCCTTATTGTTAAGGCACACAAAGTCCTTCATAATTTGGCCCTTGTTTACTTCTTCAGTCTCTCCTCTCATTGTGCTCCCATTTGTATCCTGAGTTCTGGTCAGAGCAAACTACTTACAGTTACTTTCACATACTTCCATTCTTTTCTGCTTTTGTACATGCTATTCCCTCTATCCTGAAAGCCCTCCTCATTTCGTCTGCTTGGGGAACTTGTACCCATCCTTCAAAGCTCAGCTCAAGTCTTCCTCAATGCTCTGTCCAGGCATAGCTAGTTACTCCCTCCTCTGTGCCTATAGTTTGTTTTCCATAGCTCTATTATAACACTTACCACATTTTGTGATACAGTTTTCATTACTTCTCTAGCTTTCCCATTAGAACATGAATGAGCTCCCTGAAGGCAGACCCTCTGTCTTACTCCTTTTGTATTTTAGTGCCAATCCCTGTAGCCAAGTCATTATAAGTGCTCAGTACATGTTGAAAATAGGCTTTGAGTCTCTTGTAGTTTCCCTGTCCAAATCCCAATGATTTTGCAAACCCGCTGAGCCTGGGCAGGAAATCCAAGGAACAAGTACTGCTGTGCTAAATAGCTCAAGTCAGGCCAGAATGAGCCAGGGCAGGTAAAATATCCATGTAGTGAGAAGGCACGCCAATGTGTCAGACTGAAGTCACTGACAGCAAATGAACGAATGCAGTTATACAGTATAGCCTTATATTTTCCCCTTTCCCCCTACTGTCTCTCTCTTTGGACTGCCTGTTACTCTCCCTAAATATGTCCTGAAATGTCTTCCATGGTTTTCTTCCCACTTTTTGTCCTACAGTCCCACATTAGAAACTATTGATCACTTTGAGACGGGAATATTTGCTGGCAAAAATAAATAAGAAGGTAAAACATGCATAATACCATGGCGCCAAAGTACCATTCGGAAGGAACCTTCCAAGAAACAGAAATCCAATCCATCATACAGTCTTTGGATTTTAAATTTAAGTATTTTTACTTTTCCTTCCAGGGTGATTTCTGGCTACTTTTTCATCATATGATTTGCAAGAGCAGCTGTGAGTTTATACCCTAACAAATTGGTCTTTTATTGTAGAGCTATGAGATATCTCGAGGATCACTACTTTCTTATTATTTTATTAATAACTTTATTAGGTGGTAAAGACCTTTCTTGAGATTTAGAATAGTTAATTAAGTAAGATTAATAGGACTGAACTTCATTTCCCCCCCAAAATTTAGTTGCAGTGTGATCAATATTGCAATTCAAATGAATTGGGAGGACGTGAATGAGAACTGGAATGACAGCTGCACAAGATCATTGAAAAAAAACCTCCTGATGATTGCTAACTGAATATTCAACCAATGAGACTATGATATGTTCTTTAATAAATGAGGAAACCATTGTTTAGCATGTCAGCACTTCAGCAATACACTATAGAGTATATCATTCAAAAATCTTTCCAATTATTGGCTTGGAAATACCAGATTTGCTATTAACATCTATTTTCACAGGTAGATCTCCATTTTTTTATATCAATATAACAGTATAGATAGCAATTACCCTCAAAATGACATGTTATTACCAGGCTCCTGGCAATTTAAAAACTAAAGATGGCTATTCTAAACCATTCTTCTAAGCCTGCAATTCTAAAACTCCCCTTTTCTATTAGAAAGCCCAGCACTCCATCAAAGAAGAAGAATGATTAAAGGAAATAAAACATAAGGCAATGTACTTTCTGATTACATCTCAACAATTGATGTCTTGCTTTCATGCAAGGCACTAAAGTGCCGTGTACTGAAATTACCATTCCTGTTTAAAGCTGAAGCAATCAAAACAAAAATGGGCAAACCCCTTTTGTATTGCCCTGGAAAAATAGATCATTTTGAAGGGTGTTTTTGTTGTTTTTAGAATCTGTTTAACCTTCCATTACATAGAACCAGGGCATACCATCTAGCAACAATGATTTAACACCAATTCTTCTGCAAAAGGTTGCTTTGAAAATATTTTGTTTATGTTCCTGGAAATCTTGATCAATTACTGCTGCCTCCTTTCCAGTTTATTCTGCCACACATGCTTATTTTGAAAAGGGAATCAAATGATCCTAGGACAGCACACATTTATATGAAGGCCGGCTTCCTGCTAAGGATTGGGTGTCTTGTTTACAGTGACAATGAATCCCCACTGAATGGTGCCTACTGCACATTTTCTCCTGTAAGTTTTCCTTTTCTCTGCCAAAAAGCCAAGTCTGTTGTGTAATACAGTAAGCATACTTTTTTAAACACACTACTCATACCTTCCTGCTACCTTGCTCAGAACCTCTTTTGAAGCTTATTAGTCTGAAATAAAAATTCCGCCTGAAGGCCAGTGGGTGGCGCTTCATGCTGATTTCAAAGAAGAAACCATTTTTCAGGCATATGAACAACAAGGGACACAATGCATATTTCTCTTAGTACTTGACTGAGAAGATATAAACATCAACTGAGAGATCATTCTCTCCCAGTAAAACCATTTGTCGACAAACTACTGGCCTATCTCAGAGGCTACATTAAAAGAAATTCTTTACCCAGTTCAGACAGATGACGATACCCAATTAGTGCCCTGGATTGTTCTTTTTAATAATTTCGAACACTCAACTGGCAGGAAACATTAGGGGATACGTTTGATAAAGAGATACACTAAACAAATAGCTTAGCTCTGCAAGAGATGTGCACATTTTTCTCATAATTTTAAAGAACCAATTCTTCTTAAAAAGAATGAATATGCCCTCTGTATTATCACTCAGAAGATGTATTTTGAAAGAATAATGTTGCAAAACCCAATTTTCTGATTTTTAAAAAATCTCAGTGAAAGTCAAAGCCATCTATATATATCAGGTATAATATTTGGAAACAATTCTCCACAACCAATGGTTAATTGTCAGGTAAATATAATTGCAGCAACTGAAATGACAAATGGTCTGAAAACACTGCCTGCTGGAAACTACCCACTGCATAATGATTTTAGAGCCAAAGAAAAACTGAAGAATAGAATGGCAGCAAACATCCAATATAATTACAGGTGTCTTTTTAACCAGTGAGAGGAAATTGGGAGAAGATAGATTCTTGTTTCTACTCTGCTATCTGTCTCAGATCAAAAAAGTGGGGTGCCTAAAGAGTTACGCTTTTTCTGGAGAGAAGTGGAGTGGGGGAATTTGGAAAGACGTCACCCTTGCCTTAATCAGTCAGAAAAGACTGTCTGACCTGAGGGGGAAAGAGCATTGCTTTCTAAATTGGTCTTCCCAAAGCTGCTCCATCACACTTATCATTCCTGCTTCTAAAACTGCCTTTGTGGGTGGGATTTAGACTTCGAAAACATCCCAAGAGAGGTGTTCGTGTCCAAGGTCGGGCTGAAAGGCAGCGGCAGAGCTGGCTTCAGATCTGTTTCCTGACAGGTGTGACCATTTCCTGGTTAGAGATACAACGCATCTACAAATAAGATGATGAAACGAACAAACATTCCTTTTTAAAAAAACTATCCAAAGTATGGCTTCTTTCTCAGAATAGAATTCTCAGAAGGGTAGAGACAGAGAGCAGATTTAGTGGGGCTGTGGGTCAGCACAAGAGATTTTTGTGGGGTGATAAAAATATTCTAAAACTGGGTTGTGGTGATGGTTGCATAACTACAAATTTACTAAAAAATCAGTGAAGTGTACACTTAAAATGGGTGAATTTTATGGTGTATAAACTATACCTCAATAAAGCTGTTGAAAAATTATCAGTAATAACTTGGTACCTATTACCTAAAAACTCACTGCCTTTAGGTACCTATTACCTAAAAACTAACTGGGGTAGAGAGACGCATTTGTGGAAATCAGGATTCCCCAAATCCAACTTTCTCAATGACTCCTTCTGTTCTGAACTTTTTAAATTCCTGTGAAGCAAATGGTAAGAGGCTACAGAGACTGGGAGCACACAGCTGGGGACTGGCTCGATTGAGGTCATTTCCCACTTTGTGTTTAATGTCAATGACAGGCATTTGAAAGAGACAATCCATACAAGCCAATAAAAGTGAGTGGAAAAGAAACGGCTGCTTAAAATGTCAAACTCTTTCAAATCAAAACAAAAACCTAATAATTTAATAAGTGGCATCTGCCCTTTCGTTTTTGTACTTTTAAAACTGTAGCTTTCCTTTTGACAACAGAAAAAAAAGCTGACATTTTATATCTGTGCCTGAATCTTTGCTCCTCAAAAAAAAAAAAAAGATAACTTGAAATGGAATTTAGAATCTTCCTTGAAGGAGGGGGGAGTAGGAGGCATAAATGGGGGCACACAGCAAGGGACTCATTCACCTTCAGGGTCCCACACTGAAGGCAGTGTGGGATCATTTCGTGCTAGAAGCAAATCTGGTTAGCTTTGCCATTCAGACTTTCCCAGCCTATGGGGCTGGTTGGCAGAGGTGATTGAACTATGGTGCAAATGAAGTAATATCATGGATGTGATTATAAAATTGATCTCTTCGCCATGGTCAGTTCATGGCTTTATAAGATAACCCAGCCTTAGCCACCTGTTCCACAAAGGTAGGATGGATACAAAGATAGATGGACAGAAGAGTGTAGCTGCCTCAATACATTCTGATCCTTAATTCTGGGAAAATAACCCAAAGTACATGTCCTACTGCAGCCTGTTTAGATTCTGCCTCTTTAGATAAAAAGAAATATGATTCTGCAGTGAAAACTTGTCAGTAGATGTTCAGAGGAAAGATGGATGGAAACACCAATAACTGGTTTCCCAGTAGGATGCAACAGGAGGGGGAGGAACTTGGATGAGAAGTTATAGCCAGGTTAGCAAAATCAGTTTGTCTGGGGGAAGCACAGGCTCAGGGGCCACCTGTGGTCCCTTTTCCTGATTTATTTAACATTTAAATTACAAACTAGGAGGAAGTGACAGCAGGAAATGTGATCCAAAGAAGGGAGAGATTGAAGAGGAGAAAATTCTGATTCTCACCACACTAACAGTACTTCAAAATCAAATTATTGTATTTGAAAGGAAATGTACTAATTTGGCCATCTCTAAGTGGTGTTCTTACAGGTAATTTTTCTCTTGTACTTTTCCCAATTTTCTGCAATGAATATGTATTATACAGCCTTAGGAAAACAGTATTAATAAAAATTTAAAGAGCTGCTTACCACTTTGAGGATTCAAAATGTGATGCTTGTTCAAGGACCAGCCTCCTAGGTTAGAAGCATCCATCTCAAAACCTTGTAAAACAACTGTCCTTTGCTCCCAGAGAATAAAGTCAGGGCATGTCTCATATTCATATCCCACAGACACTGCAAACAAAGAGTTAATAGCACATTAGAAGGCTTTAAAATATTTGTTGCATGTTTACACCAGCTGACAATTCTGTGGATATTGCATTCGTTACTGAATTCTGATCTGAGTTGAAATTCGACTGCAAATGCCTTTTGCCTAGCATAGTATAGCATTATACCTAGCACAACATCGGTCACCCAAAAGTGATCCGTTAGTGCATATTGCATAAATATATGAAGGAGTAAGTGAATAAATGCTGTCATTAGGTTGGCACCATATATTTATGGATATTAAGCTTTATTCTGGGCTTTTGAATTAGAGGCTGTGCTGTAAAACTGAAGAGTGAAGCTCTCTGCTGGATTAAGCTGTAGTAGTATAATTTCCCTCTGCCTTTGTAGAAGAAGAGCAGGGAGGGCTGGTTTCTTGCCACTCTAGAGTGAAAAATGCTCTCAGGAAGCTGGATTTGGAGTACTGGGTCACTTATACAACAACTAACTACACATAAAACTAATAAAAATCGATTTACCTAATTTATATTTTTCTTGTGCTAACTGGCCTTTAATTTGCTGAGAAGACTAAGTTTGCTTAGTGTGCTGCAAGTGTAAATTCCACTTTGTGCTCATTATGTTTTGGTTTCTGCATATAGCTAACCAATGGGACATCACCCAACATTTGGCTTCAACTTCTATGCAGCACAGATGTTGTGCATTAAACTTGGAACCCTGGTATGCCACTAAAATGGGAAGTGCAGAATGTGTTAGTTTGGGTGTCTCTGCTCTACTGAAATATGTATGGCTCAAGTATACCAAGTCCCAGCTATTTCCCAGTTGGTAAACCTGCTTACCTGTTGGAAGCTCAGATTTCTGATTCCTGAATTTAAAATGCTTTCTATCCTCATAATGCTCTAAGCCTGAGAATACTGGCTCATAGCACTGCATATCCAAAGCTGCTTTCCCCCTTTCTGGCAGCTTTAGATAGCCCCAGTTGGTCCGTTTTCTGCTATTGCTTTTGAGTTGCTTGTCTCTACCTGACTCTTCAGATACCTGTGGAAAGCGTAAGTCCTTCCCTTGTCATTTGGTTATGAAAACTGGTGCTTAAACAATGCCAGCATAATAGGTCCAAAAATGAAAACTTAAAGCAAACTTGTCTGTTTTGGCATTAGGTGAAGGGAAAAGATGGCAATGTGAGTCAAAGTGATTTGTGTGTGCATGTGTATGTGTGTGTGAGCACGTGCACAGATAAGCCAAAAAGGCCTTATGATTACAAAGACTCAGTTCTCTGACTTTGCATATCATCTGTGGCCAATTTTAAATTGCAGGCTGGCTTGTCTCTGTCATCCACTCAACCAAAGCTTAAAATAAGGATCAGGACTGTCTTCATGAGTGTGGCCCATGCTTAGAAGAGCCCAACACTTGATTTAATGCTCTGCTGTCATCATCTTGTAACTCTTAATACTTTTTTGTTTTTGTTTGGAGACAGAGCCTCACACTGTCACCCTGGCTAGAGTGTAGTGGTGTCATTTTGTAGTTCACTGCAACCTCAAATTCCTGGGCTCAAGTGATCCTCTTGCCCCAGCCTCCCAAGTAGCTGGGACTACAGGTGCATGCAACAATGCCTGGCTAATTTCTTTGTATTTTTAGTAGAGATGGGGTCTAGCTTTTGATCAGGCTGGTCTCAGACTCCTGAGCTCAAAGGATCCTCCCGCCTCAGCCTCCCAGAGTGCTAGGATTACAGGCATGTGCCACCGTGCCTGGCCTCTTAATATTTTTTAATCAAGAGACTTTGTATTTTCATTTTCATTTCAATGGGCCCCATAGATTATGTAGTCCATCCTGGCAAGGATGCCTTTCTGTCAACCATCAGTGGTGAAAGTGAAGACTCTTGGCAATGCAAACTCATTTTACTATTAGCCTCAACCAAGCATTATTAGCAAAAGAGGTCAGTGGGGATGGGGGGAAGACTAATCAAAAAATTTTCCGTTTGGAAATTATTTGAGGATCATCTGTGCCATTGTTGTTCTCTATTGAGGTGGGCGGAAATAGAATGTCAGAGGGGAAAAGTATCTCAAAGGTGATCCAATTTAGGTTACACTCATGGCATGAATGAATGCTGCCTATGGTCTTCCTGATATCTCATCATAGCCCCTCTACTTGCTAAAACAACTCTGGCAAAATGGAAAGAGTTGGTTTCAGAGGAAGAGTCAGAAAAGACTTCGACTCTCTTATCTGTCATTAACTAGCTATGTTGGATCAGGCAAGTTATTTTCCATCTCTGGGAGCTGTGTTCTTCACTGGTAGCAAAGCAGGGAGGGGGTGACTAGAGTTGGTGTTTCTCAGAGCCTTGTGGGTCAGGGAGTACTTTATTTTGAATCTGACAAAAGTTATGGATATTCTTGCTAGAAAATGCATATGCATGCAAAATTTTGTATATAATTCTAGGGGGTTCACTGATTTCCCAAAGTTCAATTAAAGATCTCAGATTAAAGACTCCTGTACTAGATAATCCTTTTAATCCCCCTTGAGCACTAACACTCTATGATTCTAAATTGCATTCCTTCTAGATTACATTTGATAAGTTCTGGTTGAAGATCAAACCCAAAAGCCAAACAGGACTCTGTATCTCACGTTGGAAAAATCAGGTGGTTAGAGAGCACACTAAGGGCCATGTTGGTGTGTAGAATAACACGGTTTCTGCTTCTCTTGCCAACATTTAAAAGTCTTGATTAATAAATAATCACAACAACAATAATTACAAGTTCCCTTAAAGCCATCATCTCCTTCCCCACAGTACTCCTGGCAATTACTGGATCTGCCTTCTGTACATTGTAAGCCTGGTGAGCTCCCCTAGAATCTCTTCTCCGGAAGGTGATTGCGCAGTTTTGCAAATAAGTAGTGTGCCCTAGTGACCTCTGATGGTGGTTTGGAGCCTTCTTTTTCCCTCTCAGTAACAGTTAAAGATCCTCCCAACTCTGTAGCAGGAAATGCTTACATAAAGCATTAGTTAAAGAGTTCTCAATGCAATGGTAATGAGACATCGGTACTCTTTTCACCTCCTCCTATCTGCTCTCTGAATTGCTCTCCAGTCCACAACAAAAAAGTGCATTGGCTGCAAACCCCAAAATTATATTACTTTTTTCCCCTAGTCACAGCAAATAGCAACAAGGTAGCCACTTAGGAAGTTTCCTCTAATTTTTATTAGATTTACTTTCTCCCAAGAAACCTCTATGAGCTAATAAAGTTATAATTTATACTTAAGACTTGCCCAAAATTCCAAGTGACTTTAATGAGAATAGCTGTGTGTTGGGGTATTTCTATATGGGGCTCCTTGCTCAGAGTAACAAGGCGAAGTTTCTTCCCAACAGCAGCCCACTTTAACATAATCCTGGAACTTGCAATCAGCTTATGAGAAGGCAGACATTTCACCCCATGGAGTTGAGCTTCTCTGCACATTCATGAGAACTGGCAAATATAATAGCAACCAATCCTAGATTTCCCCTCATGGAAGCAGACTGCAAGGTACTTAATGACTACTCTTTTTCATATATTAATAATTAAATATGGGGGGGAAGGGCTATATTGGGGCTGGTGCTGAAAATGCTGAGTCGTGACACCACGCTCGGCCTGATACTGTGACAGCTGAGCCTCAGCTAAGTAAGCATAGTGGACCACTACCATTTCCCAGGCTGCCTGTTGCCTAGCACATCTGATCACCAACACAGCACAGGGCAGGGCACCAACTCAGCCTCTGGCGCTCTGGAGTGAGAAGTAGGGAGAACAGTATAACAGGAAGGAAAAAAAAATCTTCATCAATATTTCAGAGGAGCTGCAGAAGGTAGACTAGACTGGCAATGAGCAAGGATAGGTGGACAAGGGGTCGTGGACTACATTTTCCAGGGGTTGGCACAGAGGGCTTGGGCTGGCGTGCAGAGATTGGGAAGGCAGTTGAGAGAGAGAGAGAGAGCCATTAATTTGGAAGAATACTTTCTCTGAGCCATGTGATCACATCCCTTGTGACACCCCTAATTCCATCTAGATTTCTGCCTTCCTGTATTCTCTTTTTCACCTCTACACAGAGATATTAATATAATGTTTCTTAACCAAGGATAATTGATTGTCAAGATAGGCTTGTTACTTTTGCAGAGGATTTTGTCCTCTGGTCACAGGATTGCACCTCTGACTTCACTGCTAGTCATCTTGTTAATATTACACTAACTCGTAAAGACGACTGAGTGAAAGACTGTAGTGTGCTCCCCCAAAGCCATTTGACATTGGAAAAATAACTCTAAATGTTTATTCTACTTATTAGAGCAGCAGCATTTCTATGACATAAGGACTGCAAGAAGGCTGAGGCCACAGTGCCCCTGACACCCAGCTTAGTTATTGTGATATTCATCTATAAGGTATAGGATAGGAGACTGACGTTAGGTAGCCAAGGTAAACACGCCATGCAAAGAAGCTGATGTGTGAAATATGACAAGATTAAGCAGATGACTTTCAACAGCTTCAGGCTAAGGCTTCAAAATTCATAATGGTTGCATTTATGAAGGCAATAGATAACTAAAAGTAGTCTGATAGTCAGTGCGAGAAATTTCCTTTTTACTTTCATGAACTCAAGGAACATCTAAAAATAATTTCATGACATTTAAAAGGTAACTAGCAACAAAATGAAAACCTTCTCCAAAAGGAATCATCAAATAGAACAATAAATATTTCTCTTTGTTTTAAAATGCTAGCTTAAAGCAAAAACAAAAAACAACAACAAAAGACCTAAGGAACCAAATGAAGGCCATGGCAACAATACACCAAGACTATGTAGATAAAATGCTATCTATTGAAAACAGGTACCTGCTCTCAGAGCTTCTTCTATCTTTTCCTATTCTCTAGTGATTTATCCTAGGATAGGATGAGCCCAGAGGCTCCTCAATTTGACACATTGCCCAATGGCCCAAGATGCTTTGTTTACCCATTATTCCTAGCTTAGTAAAAGTGACAGAATCAGGTGTTGAATTTTTATCAAG